GACGGGTTCCTTCTCCTTCACACGAGAGGAAAGGACTTGTTAGTTGTGCCCCAAGATCGCATCTTACGGACTCGGATCTCGGCGAATTCCACAACGCACGACTTTCGGCACACCTTGGCGTGAACCGCACATTAGCACGCCTCCGCCGGCGTTTTCACTGGCCCGACGTCCTTCATGACGTCACGAGGTACATTGAGTCATGTGCAGTTTGCCACCGTAACAAGGGTCGATCTCGAGTCCCCTTCGGCGAACTGAAACCGTTGCCGATTCCTCGGGCACCACGCCTCTCYATTGCTATGGACGTGACAGGCCCGTTTCCCCGCGATCGACACCACCATGACGGGATTCTCACGGGCGTTGACCGTTTGAGCAAGTATGCTCGCTTCCTTCCTTGCAAGTATCACGCTGCAGCGCCCGAGCTCGCACGACTCCTGCACACCGGTTGGATTACCAACCAGGGTGTTCCGAAAGACATAGTGAGCGACCGAGATACTCGCCTCATGTCGACCTTTTGGACTTCCCTCATGGCTGAGTCCGGTACGACAATGAAGCCGAGCTCAGCTCGGCACCTGCAGACGGATGGCCAGACGGAGCGAGCGCACCAGACCGCTCAGATGATGTTGCGTACGCTTATCCGTCCCGACCAGAAAGATTGGGTTGACCGGCTTCCCGACATCGAGCTCGCCTATAACACTTCGGTGCACCCGGCGATCTGCGTCACACCATTCGAGCTACATCATGGTGGAGAGAAAGCACGGATCTTCGCTGATCTACTTTTGCCACAGGCTGCCGACATAGACGTCCCTTGCTCTCCCGCTTCCGTTCGGAAGTACCGGGACTTGCTGATCAAAGCCCGCGCGAATATGCAAAAGGCTCAGATCTGCATGCACCAGCAGGCTAACCGATGTCGACTTCCATGTCCTTTCCGTGAGGGAGACCTTGTTTGGGTCCTCTCCGAGGAATTTGCGCTCGAGCAGGACGTTTCGCGCAAACTCCTTCCGAAATGGTTCGGACCATGGGAAGTCACTTCTGCCGTTGGAGACGACCCCGCAGATCCTTCCTTTGTGGTCAACATTCCTCCGCACCTTCCAGTGCACCGGGTCTTCCACGCGTCGAAGCTGGCCATCTACATGCCACCTTCCGCCGACGAGTTTCCCGGACGTCGATCACAGGATCTACCTTCTATGGGCGAACATCAGGAAGTCGACCGAGTCATCACGCATCGCAAGTATGACAACAAGCCAATTCAGTTCAAAGTCACATTCAAGCAATGTGCGCCGGATGACACTCGGTGGATCTCCAGTACAGATTTGCAGACTTCTGCACCCCTTATCTTTGCCGACTATGAGAAGCGACGCCTTGCTAAGGAAGCAGCTCGTCCTGCCCGACCCACCCCGATATCGGACAGACAACTTCGCCCTCGCAGGTAGATCGGTCTTTTAAGAGGGGGAGTGTGTTACATCTTCGACGCCACACGGGTCCTACCGGACCCGACGTAGAGGTAGAGGGACACAATAGGGCCAAAGGCCCGACCTTGGGGGGTACTACAGGCCGTAAAGGCCTTACCTTGGACCAGACCCGACGGGCCGGCCCAAACCATATTACCGTTTGGGCCTGGCGGCGCTCTTGAGGCTGCCGCCCGCCGGTTGGGGCTGAACCGTCCATCTGGACGGTTCAGGGCATGGTCAGGCCTCGCAGCATAGAGGCCGACCTCTGCCCACCGGTGCAAAAGTACTGGTCCAGCCTCAGCGAGGCTATCGACCTACCGGCATTCTACCGGTACGGTATGGTACAGCGCGATACAGCACTGGCGCTAAGTTTAGCGCATGAGCAGCGAGGGGCAGCAGCGCAGCATTAGCGCAGCAGCAGCGAACGAGCAGCAGCAGCGGCGACTGATTGTACCGGCGGCCATCGCCACCTGAGGTATCGGGAGTTGGAGGCCTCTCTCCTCCCTCCCCTCGCCAATCCCCTCTCTCTCTCTCTCTCCTCCTCGGCTCCTTCTTCTTCTTCTTCTTCTTCTTCTTCTTCTTCTTCTTCTTCTTCTCTTCAGACATCATCATCTTCTTCTTCTTCTTCAGATTGGAGACTTATACTAGTGGACAAAGATCAGTGTTGGACTTCGGTGGTATGAGACTGTGGTACTTACCAGATTGGAGACTTGGAGATTGTTGGGGTTGATACTTGGCGGCATCACAGTTCGGACACCGGTTACATTT